TGCATTTCCCTCAATGCCTCTTCATTCTTTTTGAGTCTTTTTTCATTTTCTTGCTCTTTCTGGGAGCTTTTTTTCTACCTTATCCTCCAGCTCACTGATTTGATCCTCTGCTTCATCGATCCTGCCTTTGATTCCTTCTACTGTGTTGTTCAACTCAGAAACTGTATTCTTCATTTCCTCTTGCCTCTTATTGATAGTTTCTATGTCCTTTTTTTATGCTGATATAGTTTGCAGTAAGTTCCTCGTAGTTTCCCTGTAGTTTTTGGTAATTCTCTATGAGCTCACTGAGCTCCCTTAGAACTGTTGTTTTGACCACAGTATCTGAAAGTTTATGTGCCTCTAGTTCTTTAGTTATTTTCCTGGAGATCCCTCCTTTCCCTTCTATTAGGGGGTGTTTCTTTGTCTTCCCATTATTTGCGAGGCACTTCTTTTTTGCTTCTTCTTCTTAAATTGATCTGCCTTGATTTCCTGACTTTGTGGTGTCAGGAAATCAAGACACCACAAAGTGGTATGGTAGGAAACTGCTGTTTTTTCTTTCTGGATCTGCCTCTGATGATGTCAGATGTTGACCCTGTCTGAACTTAGGCAGTCTGTTTGAGACTTCCAGGATTCTACTGTCTGTGGCTGTCTCCTTCAGCTGTTAATCTAGTCACTCTGCACTCAGCAGGTTGCCTTAGACACCACAGGGCTGGGCAGAGTTCCTCCTGGGGGCAGGGTTATTTGGTCCTCTCATGCTGTTGTCACTTAGTGGGGTGGTCTTCCTGAGAAAGACGGCTGCTGCCGTATGAGGGAGGAGTCAGCTCTGGGATCCCTCTGGCTACTCTCAGTTCTCTCCCCAAAGCCTCCTTCCCCAGTGTCTCCTCAGGCATCTCTAGTCCACTCTGCCCCTGCCTCTGCCAGAGACCAGGGTAAGTGGCTGTAAATAAAAATTTATGTGTTGGCCCTTTAAATGGCTCTTTGAATCTCTAGACGCCTGCTCTGGCAGAGAGTAACCCTGCTGCTTTTCACTGCTGGCTGTTATCTGTGTACTTTTTGGGTTCTGGTGCTGTAGGCTGGAGATCCCCACTTATGGTTTAGACCCCGCTCATCTCAGGGGGATCCAACTAGCCATTTCAATATCCTTCTGGTGCTGCCACCTTTGGGAGCCCCTTCCACCTTCTCGAGTCTCTATTGCACTCCTTACTAGTTAGGTTGTGATAAAGCTGATTCTTCTGTCTGTCCGAGGTTATAAGGCTCCTCTTTTGCTATTGTTCAGTTGTTTGTTCCAGGTGATTTCTCCACGGTTTAGTTGTAATTCCAGATAGGTCTTGGGAGGAGGTCAGTGTGACTTCCACTCACTCCTCCACCATCTTGATTCTCCTCTCCCTCAATTTTAAATAATAGCCTTGCTGGATAGAATAGTTCTGCTTGTAAGTCCATGCTTATCATGACTTTGAATATTTCACACCAATTCCTTCTGGCCTGAGAGATTTCTGTTGAGGAATCAGCTGACAGTCTTATAGGATCTTGTTTTTAGGTAACTAACTATCTTTCTATTGCTGCCTTTAAGATTCTCTCTTTGTCTTTAACCTTTGCATTTTAATTATGATGTGTCTTGGTGTGGGCCTATTTGGGTTCCTCTTACTTGGACTCTCTGTGCTTCCTGGACTTGTGTGTGTTTTTCCTTCACCAGGTTAGGGAATTTTTCCGTCATTATCTCTTCAAGTGGGTTCTTCATTCCTTGCTCTCTGTCTTCTCCTTCTAGTACCCTTATGATGCAGGTATTTTTACATTTCATTTAATACCAGGGGTCACTTAGACTATTCTAATTTTTTTAAATTCTTTTTTCTTTTTGCTGCTCTGATTGTCTGTCTTCCTGTTACCTTGTCTTCCAAATTAGTGATTCTGTCCTCTGCCTCATCTAACCTACTGATGATTCTTTCTAGTGTATTCTTCATTTCAGATATTGTAATCTTCATTTCTGCCTGGTTATTTTTTATAGTTTCTATATGTCCCCTTTTATGCTTACTATCTTTTTGTTTATGCCCTGAGTTCATCCATTATTTCCCTAAGTTCATTGAGTACCCTTATAACCATTTTCTTTTTAGCTTTGTATCTGGTAGATTGCTTGCCTCCATTTCATTTAGTTCTTTTTTTCTGAGGATTACTCCTGTTCTTCTATTTGGGGCCTGTTTCCTGTCTCCCCATTTTTGCTGTCTCTCTGTATTTGTTTCTATATATTAGGTAGTTCTGCTATGACTCCCAGTCTTGGTAGGGGGGCCTTATGTGGTAGGTATCCTGGGGGGCTCAGTCAAATAGTTGCCCTTATCACTTAAGCAAGTTGCTCTAGAAATTTTCCTTGTGTGGGTTATGTGAGCCTCCCAACTATAGTTGAGTCTTGATTGCTGTTGCCTCCTACATGTGTGTGGTCAACCTTCAGGCTGGTTGACAGTGAGGATCAACCCCAATCACAGTGCATGAGGTGCTGTGTGAGTGCTGACCACATAAAGCAGAATTTGCCTTAGAGATTTAAGCTGGGTCTGGTGCCTGTTTAAATCTCCCTGTAGATGCGCTACTTGTGGAGTTAATTGGGTTCCATCCTGATGTGGTCTAAAACCCAGCATTGGGTGTCTTTGTTCTGGAGCATCTTGAGAGGGCTCCAGTGCAGTCAATGTCAGATGCTGCCTGTGTCTGGCCCTGGGCTACCTGTATAGAGCTAAAAGCAACCCACAGTTTATGGCTGCCTCTGCTTGCCTGGGTGTGTGTGGAAGGGCCAAGGTGGGCACCAAAGCTGGCTTCTACCAGCACAGAGTTTGAGAACAGATCAGCAAAGGGCCCAAGGCACCCCGAGATTCACTTCTACCTGCCTCAGCATGATGGCTGCCTGTTAGGCTCAGCCATTGAAAGCTCCTCTTGTGGTACACAATTGCATGAGACAGGTTCTCAGGGAGTCAAGCAGATATCTAGTCTGATTATTGTCATATGATGCAGGTAGGCAGGGGGAAGTGAAGGTGGGCTGCCTCCAAGGAGACAATTTTGTCCTTCTCATACTTTCCTACTAACATCACCCTCTTTATTTTTAATTAACACTAATTGACACCCCCCCTATATGCCAGGTACTTGTGTGGGTACAAGTAATACAGCAACGCATGGGTCCTGGCCTCTCTTAATGAGAACCCTTAGCTCTGGGGTGGTTCTTTACAGCTGAGATGCTTCCTCTGGTATGCCAGATTGATTGAACAACATAGCAATCTCCACCATTCCCTCTATCCATTCTCTACACAATATGGCTTTATAGCTCCTCCCATCAAAAGGTGGAGTCTATTTCCCGCCTCCTTGAAGTGGGGCTGCCTTGTTATCTACATTGGCGAACAAGATTTAGCTTGTTCCAAAAGTAAGACTCCAGAGTCATTGCATTTTTCTAGTTACTCTTTTAGAACCCTGCCCAAACAGTATGTGAATAAGCCAAGGCTAGCCTAGAACGACCCAGCCATCCCATTGTCCCAGCCCAGAGTCAGCCAAATGTCAGACACGAGAGTGTGACTGTTCTAAACCAGCCAGCTCCCAGCCAAACCACCAGCTGACCTCAAACACATGAACGAGCACAGCTTAGATGAGCCAAGCCTGGCTAGACCTAAAGAAAAAAACAAAAAACAAAAAACTCCCTGCTGACCTATAGATTCATTAGCTATAATAGATGCTTATTGTTGTAAGCCACTGAGCACTAAGGTATTTATTACACAATAGCTAACCAATGCACCTGGGGATGTTACCTACTTTTCCCAACAACTCTAGGATCTTCAAATAAATTAAACAATCACTTTTCCTTATCATACTAAGTATACATATCTTTTAAGTGACAGAAAAAAATAGAATTCAGTGTACGTGGAAGAAAATGCTCTTTTTGCTATAACTCAGGACTGGCAACGGCCTCACCAGCTTCTCCATTCTATTTCATGGTTGCTAAAATCAGTCTACGTGAAATGCATAAGGTTTCACAAAAGAGTATATACGGTGTGATTTCATTTATATGAAATTCTAGAATAGGCAAAACCAATAAATAGTGAAAGAAAGCAGATGTTGAGCTGTCTGGGGACAAGACAGTGGCTTAGACTGCAAAGGGGCACTAGAGCAATTTTGGGGGCGTGGAAATGCTCAATGCATTGTTGGAGTCATAGTTATCTAGGTATTTACATTTTTTTCAAAAGTCATCTCTACTCTTTAAGTGGATGCATTTTATTGTGTAAGAATTATACATTGATAAAGTTAATTTTTTAAGTTAAAAAAACTTAGGCTGGTTAAGGGTTCTCTGGAAAGGGAACCCTTATGCACTTCTGGTGGGAATGTAAACTGGTGCAGCCACTGTGGAAAACAGTATAAAGGTTTCCTTATAAATTGAAACTAGAGCTACTGTATGATCCAGCAATCCCACTTCTGGCTCTAAATCCAAAGGAAACGGAAACGGGAAAGCAAAAGGGTACCTGCACCCCCATGTTCACTGTGGCATTATTAACAATGTGCAATGCATTACTATTCATTCATGAGGCAGAGATAAATCCTGCCATTTACCACAACATGCATGGTACTTGAGGGCATCCTGCCAAATGGGATAAGTCAGACTGAGAAAGATAAGTACCACATGGTATCACTTATATGTGGAATCGAAAACAACTTAAGTTCGTAGAAACAGAGTAGAAAAGTGGTTGTCTGGGAGTGGGGAAAATAGAGAGATGTTGGTAAAAGAGTACAAATTACAGTTATAAAATGAATAAGGTCTGAGGATCCAATGCAAAACACGGTGACTATAGTTGATAAAACTGTATAGTATAGTATAATTGAAATTTGCTAAGAGAGTAAAACGTGTTTGCTCACATAAAAAAGATAACTATGTGATGTTATGGATGTGTTAATTAAGGAGATGGGGGAATTCTTTTACAATGTGTACATATATAAATCACAATGAGGTACACTTTGAGTAATTTAAAATTTTATATGTCAGTTATACCTCAATAGAGCTGAAATTTAATTTTAAAAAACACCTTAGGAGCTCTATACAGTCTTTTGAAAATTGAGGAGAAAAATTTCAACAAGATGGCAGTGCTCCGATCTCCTGGGACTTATTCCTCTCCCTCAGAGGGCTTGTTGGCAGTGTCTTGGAAGAATCCCTCTCCCCTACCCCTGCCGCTTCCATGGCTGAGGGGTCCACAGGAAGCAGCTCTAAGACTCTCCTATCTGGGCTCGCCCAGGCTGGCCTCACAGATCCAGTGGTAGGGCCTCTGGCAGACGTCATCATTCCATCTGCCATCAGGGTGGAAGTGGGCACAGTCCTCACCGCCACCCAGCCCGTGCCCTTGCCAGTCGTCTGGCTGGCCTGGCTTCCAGTTCCTGAGGGGGAGGACAACGGCAAGCTAGAAAGTTCAGGTGGGACAGAATCCAGGGCTGGGAAGAAGGGGCGGTAGGTCAGACCCTCAAGGGGCAGGGCTGAAAGAGGGAGAAGGGCATGGAGAGCATGTGTACTCACTTGAAGTTGGTCTCATAGTCTGTCCCATCCACCCACTTCCAGGTGCCTTCAGGATCACTGAGGCCCATCCAGGTGTAGAAGGAGCCTAGATGTTTCTGGACAAAATTCTGGGACGACAGAATGACAATAGTGACCTCTCCCCATCCCAGCCAACTCCTTGGACTGGGAGTTTTAAATTTTACATTTACATTAAATCAGTTGAGGGGATTTGGGATGTTTATCCCAATGCACAGGCCAATTACTGCCACACACTGCTTAACAAACGGAAAAGGCAACTTTGTCATTGTGTGAACATCATAGAGTGCGCTTAGCAAACCTGGATGATACAGCCTGCTGAACACATGGGTGGTGTGCGGTAGCCTACTGTTCCTAGCCTATAAGCCCACGTGGGCGTGCTGCCGTACAACCCACACGAGATGAACTCTAACACAAGAGCAAAGGATGCACTCAAGAGACACAATAAACACAAGATGTATATAGCTGCTGCCAGCAAAACATGGCATACTGTTTCACATCTCTCCTAAGCAGAAAGAGCGCACTCTAAAATAACAATAAAAAGTATAGTGTCATAATACACAAATCAGTAGCATCGTTATTTATTATCACTTTCAAGTATATTGCACTTTCTATAATTGTAAGTACTGCATTTTACACGTAACAGTGGACAGCACAGCAGGTGTGTTTACACCGGTGCCATCACAAACACATGAGTACTGCGCTGCACTGTATGACATCTCGAAGGCTACTGCTCCCTAGAGAGAGGAATTTTTCAGCTCTATTATAATCTTATGAGACAATTCTTCAATATTTGGGAGGCCATTGACAGAAACGTCATTATGTGGTCCATGACTATACATCTGTGAGGGTAGGCTCAGATGGCAGTGTTTTTAAAAGTCCCCTGCTGATGCCAATGTGCAGCCCCAGCTGAGAAGCATTTCCTTAATTGCACCATGTCTTAGGACCCAAGCACCAGAGCCCTCACCTGTTCCTCCCAGGAGCCGACCACCACCAGGTGCGCGTTCTGCAGCTGGCAGTACCTCTCAGCTTCGGGCCAGGGCTTCCCAGTACGAGAGAACCAATAGCAGCTGCCTTCATGCTCCAGCCAGTTGACGGGGCAGCAGGTCTTCTGGGAGCCTGCAGGGAGGGTGTGGGGAGGGTGTGAGATGCTGCCCAGTGGGACTAGGGCTGGATATAAGGCGAGGCACTCCCTGCACACCACTCACCATTGTTCTTGAGTGAGGCCACCTGGCAAATCAGGGAGTTCAGGTCTTTAACCACCTCCTGGACTCGCAGGACCATGTCAGAATAACCTGGGACACCCACCGAAGGACAGTGGGACAGTCCAGGGGCCCAGCCCAGACCCTCCCGCCCTCCCTCCACATCAGGCCCCGTGGAGGGGAGAAGGGGCCTGACCTGCTTTGAGTTCCTGCTGCCCTTTCTCCAGCTGGCTCTCCAGGGAGAACACCGTGTCATTCAAGCTGCGGGCTGGAGGGAGGGCACTCAGCACCCCAGGCTGCTCCCGCCCCACCTCTGTGCTCAGAGCCCGGCCCCCACCCTCGCGCCCACGCTGCTGGAGAGTCTCCCACCTGCCTGCAGCTGCTGCCCCTGCTTTTCCACCTCCGCTTGCAGGGATGTTATCGTTTCTCGCAAACGGCCACCTGGAGGACACTGGGGCTTTGCTGAGGGTTCAGCTCCCACCTCCTCCGCCCACCACCCATCCGCGTCCAGAGCCCCCTCCTGCCAGGCTCACCCTGGGCGTGCAGTGCCTGGACCTCCGCCACAGTGTGCGAAGTGACGTTGCTGCAAGTTGCTCTCAGAGTCTCCAGGTCCCTCTGAATCTTGGAACCTGATCAGGCAGACAGGACACTGAGCGCTACGCGTCAGCAGGTGCCCTCCGTGCTGGCACGGAGCAGGGCACTTGACGTGCATGGTCTCATTGGGTCCTCACTGCCACCCAAACCAAAGGGACAGGCACTGTTGTTGCCCAAGCTTGCAGAGGAGGAAACTAAGGCTGAGAAGGTTAGGTAATTTGACTGTATTGCCCATTATCCATCACAATCATCATCAGTGCCCGCGTCACTGAGCCCCACTATTGCCCCTGCCCCCGCCCGCCCTGCGACCCTCACTTTTGGATCCGATCACACAGATGCCAACCAGCAGGAGGAGGCTGAGGCCCAGGGAGAGCAGGAGGGGGCGGGGTCCAGAGCAGAGATGCTGCAGGAGGACCTGGGGCGCAGGCAGCCCTGCAAGAGGGGAGACTTCAGGACAAGGGGGACCAGGACAGGAGAGAGCCAGCGCAGGGGCGAGGCCGCAGGGACCTGTCAGGGAGGAAGGCTGGTGCAGGTGGAGCTGGGGGAGGCTGAGGTGCCGGGGATGCCCAGGCCTCTGACCGCTCAGGGACCACCACAGTCCTCGGACACGGGGCCCCTCACCCCCCGTGACGCGTGATGGTGATGATACGTAAGGTCTTCTCATCAGGGCTGGGAGGGGAGCAGGAGGAGAGAGTCGGGACAGCCAGGCTCTCTGTAGGCCCCTGCTCACCTGTATCGTCAGCTTAGCCAATGTTTCCTTCCCAGACACGACTGTTCAGTCCCCCAGGGCAGACACTCAGCCCTGCCCCAGAGAATGGGCCAGCAGGCCCTCTGTGGTCCTCCCTGATCCTGTCACCTGAAGACCTTGAACGCTCTTCGTGCTGGAGCCCCGGGGGTCGGTGCCTGACCCTTCAGAGTGGGGACCCCAGCAGCGCACATGCTGTGCAGATATGCGTGAGAGCAGGTCCTTTCAACATATTATGAGGGTGTTTTTGGAGACACCTTTCTCCTTCTTACCATTTTTAAGCCCCTGGCTTTTCTCCTCACTCTCCAAGGTCTGGAGGTCTTCGTACTTCATTGCCATGCTTGGACTAACTCCGAGGCTCTCAGAACTGAAATGGAGGCAGGGCCAGAGACCAGGGTGGGCCTGGAATTAGGGGACAGGGGAGGCTGGGACTAGGTTGGAGGTGAGGTCAGGGCTGAAGTTGAGGTAAGAGCAGAAATTCAGGTTGAGTGTGAAGCCGGGGTTAGGACTAGGAATGGGATTGGGCCTGGGTTTGCAGCTGGGGTCAGAAGTGGGGTCAGGACTGGCCTTTGGGCTGTGGTAGGGTTGCGTGTGGGATAGGAGGTGGAGGTGAAATTGGAGCTAAATGTATTACTAGGACTGGATCTAACATTGGGGCTACAGTCGAGGTTGCATTTCCTCATAGGACAGTCCTCCTGTTGATGCCATGGATAGTGTGGGGCCTCAACTTTGCCCTGAAGTTGGAAATAGAAGAGGCTTGAGGGTCAACTTTGGGTTGGGCCTAGTGTTGAGATTCAAGTGGACTCTGGGATTGAAGCTCTGGTTGGGGGGTTAAAGGACAAGCTGAGGTCAGTGTTAGAGTTAGAGTTAGTGGCCTGGCTGAGGGATGAAGGTAGGGCTGGAATTGGGATGGAGATGAAAGTGAGTATGAGTCAGTGTGTGACTGCGGTTTGGCTGCCATACTTAAAGCCGAATCCAGGGTAGTGAATAGAGTCTCCACTCGGTCATTAAATCTCCCAACTGCCTTTTTGTATCTCTTCGTATGCGTCCCACTTAAAACCCACAGTCCCCTCTTCCTGCTCTGACTCCCGCCCTGCCCCCTTGGTCTCACCTGCGTCCCCAGCCCAGTTACCTGTGCAAAATCTGGAGGCTGTGATTCTGGGGTTTGTTGAGCAGCAGTGAGTAGCGTTGGATAAAACGAAATCCTGGAGAGTGGGCTAGAGGAGGCCGAGGGAGGAGTCACGTAAGTGCCTGGAGTCCTGCTGGTCTCTGAGTCTGAAAGCTCAGGAGTCTACAATCTGGGATCTCCTGTGTCCTCGACTTTGGGCAGTAAATAATAATTGGAACACAGGCGGAGATTGCATGTGTGAAGATGTTATATACGGGGCCAGCTTTTCCCTCCTCCTCCAGGGTGTGTCTCTTCCCTTTTCACTTCTTTTCAGTTTTTCTGACTTCCTCATTTCTATTATTTGGGAGGTGTATCTGGATCAGAAGAGATCAGAGATGCAGCGTGTTCTTTTGTCTCTGCCCCACACCCCCTTTCACTTCCTGCATCTGAATTTCCCGGAATCATTCATGTCTCCATCCCTGCACACTCAGGTCTCCCCCTGTTCAGTCTTGTCCCGAGTCCCTGGCATCTGACCCTCATCTGGAGCTTCAGCCATCACACTGCTCCCGCTCTGGCCTAGTTCCCCTCACTCCACTCAAAGGGAGACGAGAGGGCAAGGAGAGTAGGATTCATGGCCATGTTGGAAAGGGAGGAGCTCAGGACAGGAACACAATTTATTGAGTATCAAATTTATGATGGGATTGTGCCAGACACTTGCTGAAAATTAACCTTTTAGTCCCTCCCAGGATCATGGGAGGCTCTTTGAATTCTTAGCACAATTGCAAAAATAATTTTGACCTTGTAGACCCCTGACGAGTTCCCATGGACCTTAATGAATCATGGCCACAGAATGAGTGCCTTGGTGTAAAATAACTAATATTTTATAATGACTTTTATGCAGGCACACTGACAAATTATTTTGTTAGCTCTAGAAGCTTTTGTTATACTAGCTTCTTGCATTTTAAGGTGTCATTATGGCACCAGTGATCAGAGAAAATTATGTCAAGACATTTTACTGTATATTTCCCTCCATGTATATATTCTGATTTACACATTATATTTTTAAAGTCAGTTAAATGCATTTACCTCATTAATGAGGGCATCAATGGCATGATAAAGCTAATAAAGTGGAATGTACCATAAACAGAAATATTGTTAGAAATAGAAAAAAAGATTACTGGGATACCATTCCTAAACTCGATGCAAAACTTACTTGCTCTACTGGGCAATAAACCCATAATCTTTGGGTTATTTTCCTACCAAACAGAAGTCATTTGCATTGCTATTGGACAAGAATAATTTGCCTTGCTATCAGCTTTATTAGAGTTTTAACATATGCTAATCCATATAACGTATAAGTTAAGCAAAGGTATATTTCCCCTAAAGAGTTAGATAATTCTTGAGTGAGTCTCTTAAACAATATTGTCGTATGACAATTATAGACACACATATTCTGTTTTGCCTATCTTTAAGTGTTGGATACCTTTTCTAAAGAGTCTCCCTTGTAATAATAAATAATCTTGAAACATTTTCCTTGATCACTAAAGAAAGGCTGACTTGTCCTGATTCATTTAAATAGGTGCAACATGAAGTAGCAATGGATGTAATAAGCCTCCTGTAGCATGGCCGGCAAATCTGGAGACGTGTAGTGTTAAACTACCAAAGTCTAGGAAAATCGTGCCCAAGGAAAATTATAGAACTTGACTAAGTTGTGATACAATTGTAAATAAGTTTCAAGATAAATGATCTTTACTGAAACAATTCCACACATTCACTGGTACCTAAGACTCATGTATTTACTTATCAAATGCTTGGTAAAAAAAATTCTATTAACAAAGATAATGAGAAACAATTTTCCTTCACAGCAAAACACAGCAGTGCACATTCACTGTCTTGCTTGTGTCAAAGCTACTGTTCTCTATCATAATATATGAGCTATGTCAACTCCACTGTTCAACACTGTGCTGACTCCACTGCTCTTTAACATGATATAGTCTGGAGGGCATCTGGGACCTGCATCACCTTGCTGTTGCACAAAATATCATGGTACTATTATATATTAATAACATCATACTGGTTTCACCAGGCCAGGAGGAAAGAGCGAGTACCCTTTATGTCTTTGTCAGACATACGCATGCTGGAGGAAAGCGATAAACTCTGCTGATACTCCAGTGGTCTTGGACTTGTCAGGCTGCCCTTCAAATATTAGGGCCAAAAACCATCTTCAAACAAGGGCCCCTCACGGTGAAGGAGGCAAGATGCTTTGAAAGTCTTTGAATTTTTGAGAAAATATATAGCACATGTGTGCTTATTGCTGTGAGCCATTAACTGAATAACCTATAAAGCTACAGTGTTACGATAGGCCTAGAGCAAGAAAAGGCTTTGTACCGGATCCAGACTGAAGGGTAAGATTTTCTATTATTTAGGCCTTACAACTGAGCAGACCCAACAGTATTGGAATTTTCTAAGTTAAGTAAGGGTACTATATTGAGTCTCTGGCAAATCCCAGTGTGGGAATCACAGTATAGACCTCTAAGATTTTGGAATAAAATGGTGCCCTCTTTTGTTTACCACTGTTTTCCATTGGAAAAGCAACTCCCGGGCTTGCTCCTAGGGCTTGGTAGAGGTCCAATAACTAACTACAATTTAAGCGACTAAGCAACCCAAAATCTCCTTCACAATCTGGGTTTTCCTTGAAGATCAAATCCATGGATTAAATATGGGTTGCAATAAATTATGAAGTAAAAATGTTTCATACATACAGGATGAGTCCAGAGGACACAATTGTGTTGGTAGGCAGCTGACATTTCCATTGTACCTGTTTGTGATGCTTTGCTGCAACTTCTTCAGTTCACACCTAGGACCTCATGGAGAGCTCCATACAATCAGTTCACAAAAGGATGAAAACCTTGGTCCTTGTTTGAAGATGGTTTTTCAAGCTGTACTAGCAACTATAAACAAGTGTATGGCTGCTACAGCACAGCCTTATATAGGGGATGCCCTGAAAAGCAACGGTGAATGAAATTCTTCTCCAAAGGCAGATCTCTGGGCAGTGTATTTGGCTGTCTATTTTAGGTGGAAGGAGATACGGCCTGAAGTATGGATCCATACTGATTTATGAGTAGTGTTTTAATGAGTTCACTTGCAGGTCAGTGCCTTGGGAAGAACAACATTGGAAAATTGTTGAATTTGGGTGGGGGGACAGATGTAAGGCTTCAGAACAGCAGAAAAGGTGAAGATATCCGTAACCCCTGTAAATGCCCACCAAAAGACAGCCACAGATGAAGTGGCTCTCGATAACCAGTGAGTCACATGACCTCTTTGGGGATGCCAGTCCACTATACCTGGTGCTTACTCAACTGACTCACGTAAAAAGTTACCATGAGTTACCAGGGATGGAGGCTATATGTTACTATCTCAGCAACATGACTGTTGCTACTGCTGAGCGCCCAACCTGCCCAAAGCAGAGGCCAACACTGAGTCCCTGATATGGTGTCATTTACCCTATGGCAGGCTAGTGATTGTACAGTGGACCCCTCACAACATGAAGGGAACAGCAATAAATCCTCAGAGGAATAAGCACGTTCTCTGAATGTGGATATGACTTCCTTCCCCACAATGCTTCTGTCAGCATCTCCACTCATGGACACATATGTAGCATGCTATTCTTCATGCTATCATCCCCAACTAAGGAATTCAGTTAATAATGAAGGAAGTAGAGCAGTGGACTCATCCCATGGTATATCCAGGTGTCTGGCACTCAATGGATAGCTTGACTAAGTGGTGGGATAGCTCTGCAAAAGCTCAGTTACAGCACCAGCTAGGAGATAATACCTTACAAGGTTGAGGGTGCTGTTCTACAGAATATGGAATATGCCTTAGACGATATATGATGCCATCTCTCTTGGAGGCAATGCAAAGTCTGGGAACCAAGGTTGGGGGTCAGAGTGTGCCCTCTCACTAAAATACCTAATACTCCATTTATGGATTTTTTGCTTCCTATCTTGCAATCTTGGGCTTGGTGAGTTTGGAGAACAGAGTGCCCAAATAAAGAATGTTCCCATGAGGAAGTAGCCATTGTTCCATAAACTTGACATCTACAAATAATTCCTGTTCACTTAGGCTCATTATGCCACTGAATCACAACAGGCAGAGGACAGGGTTCTTATTCTGGTGGAAGAGATTGATCCTAATGACCAAGGGAAAAATGGGAGGTTGATACATTTTGGGGGAAAGAGGCCTATATCTGAAACCCAGGGGAGTTACTGGAGTGGCTTTAGTACTTCTATGACCAGTAATAATGGTCAGTGGTAAATAGTGGCAACCAAGACAAGGCAGGAATTCTAAGGACTTGCATTGTGTGAGAAGGAAAGTTTGGTCAGCCCACCAAGCAAAAGACAACCCTGCTAAACTGAGGTTCTAGCAGAGGATAAAAAGACCATGGAGAAGAAGATGGAGGAAAGAAACTATGTATACCATGTTATGTCTCATGACCAGCTACTGAAAGAGACAGTAAAACTGTAGTTCATGTTAATTAATCCCCATTCCCCCCCTGCTAACCTATATGAAATGTACTTATCAAGACTAATATTATATTAAGTGAAATAAAGAAAAATATACAGGGAACCAACAGTGAAGGGAAGGAAACCAGGACTCAAATCAATGATTTGGAGCAGAAGGAAGAGATAAACATTCACCCAGAACAGAATGAAGAAACAAGAATTCAGAAACATGAGGAGAGGCCTAGGAACCTCCAGGACAACTTTAAATGTTTCAACATCCACATCATGGGGATGCCAGAAGGAGAAGAAGAAGAGCAAGACATTGAAAACTTATTTGAAAAAATAATGGAGAACTTCCCCAGTGTGGCCAAGGAAACAGACGTCCAGGAGATCCAGGAAGCTCAGAGAGTCCCAAAGAAGTTGGACCCAAGGAAGCACACACCAAGGCACATCCTAATTACATTACCCAAGATTAAAGATAAGGAGAGAATCTTAAAAACAGCAAGAGAAAAGGAGGCAGTTACCTACAAAGGAGTTCCCGAAAGACTATCAGCTGATTTCTCCAAAGGAACCTTGCAGGCAAGAAGGGGCGGCCAAGACGTACTCAAAGTCATGAAAGACGAGGACTTACATCCAAGATGACCCAATCCAGCAAAGCTATCATTTAGAATGGAAGGGCAGATACAGTGCTTCCCAGATAAGGTCAAGTTAAAGGAGTTCATCATCACCAAGCCCTTATTATATGAAATGTTAAAGGGACTTACCTAAGAAAAAGAAGATCAA